TTTACATATTTATTGCATATTATGATTTTAGGGCAATTTGGGGTTTTCCTTCAAGAAATAAATTCTGGTCTTCACACGGTCACTTAGAAAACGTGATTTTAGGGGGGGGGGGGGGGGGCTTCTTCTTTGTGTTTTTCCAGAAAATGTCATCTTGGTACCGGAAATCCCTCGCAAATTTTAACTTTCTGTTTTGCATTTTAACAACTTCTTAACCCTCATGACCTGATTTCATGGATGGGCATCTTGAGCATTTTACAACAAGTTCTTTTTTTATTTTCTCCCACGTTGCCGGGTAGAAAATTTGATTTCGGGAGGGGTTTCTTTTTCGTGTTTTTCCAGAAAAATTCGTTTGCCCTTTTGTCCAATTCTGATTTAGGGGTATTTTGGGGATTTTGCAGTGTGTCTTTTTCGTTTCCTTCCGCTTAATCAGGTAGAAAACTCGATTTTAGGGGGGGTTTCTTCTTCGTATTTTTTCCAAAAATTTCGTTTCGGACCTCGTTTCGGCTCTCAGTTCTGGCTGAATTGTTTTCTTTCCTAGCATGTCATGGTTCTTATCGGTGTGCTCGTGGGGTGCTCGTCTCGACGTCGACTTTTGTTTTCGCTCGTTCTCCTTCCTCCGGACTCCAAATCGAGTGAATTTTTTTTTTGAATTTGACTAATTTTTTGTTGTCTTTCCAACGGTGTACTCAGTTACATCAAGATCTTCCTAGATAATTACCAGTTTACCATTTTCGCCTTAAATGCTCGTTTTTCTTCGTCATGTCGTTTCTCCTTCGTCCGGACTCCGAATCATGCGATTCTTGAGTCCATCTTGATTAGTTTTGCATTGCCTTTCTAGAGGTGTGCTTAGTGGCACCCGAATCCATAGTTTCAAAAAATTACCATTTTACCCTAGGGGGCTTATTTGTCATATTTTCGATCTTTTACTTCCGCATCAGTTCTCATTGAGTTCCACAACCTCATGGAAAATCACTTTGACTTCTTAGAGTCTTATTTTCTATTTTCGCTTTCGCATTTCGAATCCGTTACCGAATCATCCTTTCGGTTCATCACTGACGTACTGGCCTAAAAACCAGGACCATCACATATTTGCGTAACAATCTAGATCGATTTCTTTTACCCTTCACATATCAGTTTGAAAAGAAAAGAAATGAGATATCACTATGCCAAAGGTAAGGATGGTACTTGGACGAGTCCCAAAACTTTTACGTACAGGCTCGGGCAATGACAAAGGATTTGAGTTAAAATTTGAGTTAGAATTTATTTTGGACCAAATTTAGGTAAATAATTTATTAACCCCACCAATTTGAATTACAAGAAAAGTTATATTTTAAAGGTTATATATATATATACATACATATATATATATATATATATATATATGTATATTTGACATATTTATAAGGTTATATATAAGGGTCAAGTGCAGGAAACACGTGTAATATATACTCCCACGTGGTACTTTACTCCCTATTTAAAAAAGTGTGCACTAATAACTCTCTTATTCTTTTAACATTGTGTGAAAACACTCCTCAAACAGAAATCTGACATAACGTAATGTTGTAATATCCGTTAAGCCCTTTCACTCTTTCAAAAATGCCCAATGAGGTATATATACTAGTAACTCACAGTAAAAGGGTGTTATATTTACATTTAACCCACTTTTAAGAAATTTTCTCTCCCTTTTCTAAAAAATAATAAATTATTCTCTATATATTTTTCGTAACGGTGTATTTATCTTTTTTTGAGCTGAGAGTTATACATATTCTAAGACTTAATGCCACTCATAAGTTAGAAAGTTCTAATAATTGAGATAAAAAAATATATCTCAAAAAAATATATTTTTTCTCACAATTAGATTAATGTAGAATATATCACATGGAATGAAAAACTTAGTTCTTTTTCTAATTATAACAAAAGAAAAAATTATTCCAATTAAAATTTAATATAATTATTATTTTTCATTAAAAATTAAATTAAAGATACTTATTGCAATAAATTTTCACAAATATATATAATTATTTACATTACAAAAAAATGGATGTTTGAATTTAAATTAACAATAGTTTTTAGGATAAAGTGCAGAAAACACCTTTATAATATGCTTAGAGTGTGTGTCACGCCTTTCATGCGTTAAACAATATCATTTATATTTGTATTCATTTTCATTATTTCACAAAATATTTATTTTTAAATAATATGTAATATGCGTATATAAGGGTAATTTTTGCAAACTTTACCTTAAATATGTCACAGAACTTAATTGCACAAATTGAAACTGTAGGGTTATTTTCTGGATATGAGTGATGTGATACGTATTGTAAACATATTATATGAATATTTTCTATTATATGGATATTTTTTACACTTGACCCATATAAACTATAATCAGAATGAGGTGATTTATAGTATAACAGGTATAACCTACCATTGAGATCTTTCCAAATTCTGATATTAAGAAATATTATTAAGTTTCACAAGTTCACTCGGAGTTCTAAACAAACATTGTGAGTTTATTTTGTCTCAACTCTCAAGCGTACGTAGTCATAAAGTGGAGTCTGCGCGTGGTAAAAATTCTATGTGTGAGTACTTACTACTTACCTTTTGTTTTACCCTACTTAACTTAAAAAAATAAAAATAAAATAAAATAAATTTTCATTTTTTGTTTTACCCACTCAGAACACATATCAAATAAAATGGAATACATATTTTCATTACACTTGTTTCTCATTTGAAATCTAGGAATTTTTAAGATAAAAGTGCAAAAAAAATTCCCTAAAATATTACTAAAATTGTAAATACCCCTGAACTATTTATTTTATTTTACCCACTTAGAACACATATCAAATAAAATGGAATACATATTTTCATTACACTTGTTTCTCATTTGAAAATGGGGAATTTTTAGGGTAAAATTGCAAAAAAAAAAACCCTGAAATATTACTAAAATTGTAAATACCCCCTAAACTATTTGGGGTTGCAAATTGAACCATCAATTATAAAAAGGTTGTAAATTGAACCCTCAACTATAAAAAGGTTGCAAAAAGGACTCTCCTGGTCACCGGACCACATTTTTCAGTGACCAGAGGGTCAAAATTACCAAAATACCCCCATTTATTAATTTATATAAAAATTGTAAAATATCATAAATGTTCAATACCCATAATACCCTTCAGGGGCAATATTGCAACTAACCAATAGTTTAGGAGATTTTTTATAATTTTACCTAATAATAATAAACAATATCAATAATAATAGTAGTAGTAGTAACAAAAATAAATTGCTTAGTTGCAAGATATGTGAATCACTTTTAGCCCCTGCGAATTAACAATAATAATATAAGAGCATCTCCAACCGTTATGTATATTTTTTTGTGTAAATCTAATGTGTCATAATAAATTTACACAAAAATTTTGAATTATTTAATTTTAACTCCAACTGTTGTTTTATACCTTTTGTGTAAAAATATATCTCCCAATGACAATCAACCATGTGTCATCTCAAGACCCCATATAACTTTTACAAACCTACTTAATATATGGTTGATTTTTTAATGGAACGAGAAAGAGGGATGAGAAAGGAAATATGTTGATCTGGTAGTGTAAAAATGTTATGTAAAATACACAACCCTTTTACACATTAGTGATATGGCAATGTATCTTAACAGAATGCTGGAGATGGAAAAAATTTACACATCATAGATGGCAGTGTATATTTTACACAAAAGAATATTTTAACAAACCGCTAAAGATGCTATAATAATAATAATAGTGGTGGTAGTAGTAGTAATAATAAAATTTTAAAATAATTGTAAAAATAAATTGCTTGATTAGTTACTTGATGGATCCATATACCTATAAATAATTTTTGCAAGCTCATAAATTATCAAAAAATAAATAAATTAAAAAAAATTGATGTGTTAGTTGAGTTAACTGTGTAATAGTAATATATGTTTTTTGTGGGGGTAAATAATAGTAATATCTACAATAGACTAAAAGTGCGCCAAAAATAAAAAGTACGAAACATTTAATTTCATTAATTATATATATGTACCCGATTAAATACCAAACTAATCAATGTAAAAAGAAAGTGACCAATAGATAGATTACGAATTTACGTGAAATTCACGCATTACATTAGCTCATTAATATTCTCTTTCTTTACCATTGTTTTGGGCTTCATTTGTTTACATGGAAAATATTTTTTTATTTTTTGATATTTGGTTGTCCAAAATTTAAGTAAAATATTTACTGAGTAAAATAATTTATAATTTACAAAAACCTAACAAAAAATAACTTATACTTTTGTTCTGTAACATATCTTTAAAACAAATGAAAATTTGCCTAATTTTTAAAACAAATGAAAATTCGCCTAATTTTTCACTTTAAAAAGTATTTTTCATATACACGTGTGTATGTAAATATATGTTTACTATCATCATTTTTTTTTAAAATTTTATATATAATTTATAAGCTTGCAAAAAATTATTTATAGGTATATGGACCCAAAGCAACTAATCAAATAATTTATTTTTGTTATTATTTTAAAATTTTATTATTATTACTACTACCACTAGTACTATTATTATTATTAGTTATTATAATTCTTATTTTTAATTCGCAAGGGCTAAAAGTGATTCACATATCTTGCAACTAAGCAATTTATTTTTATTATTTTATTACTACTACTATTACTATTACTATTATTATTATTATTATTATGATTATGATTATTATTATTATTATTATTATTATTATTATTAATACTACTACTACTATTATTATCATTTCTTGCCATTCAAAATTTCTAAACCCGTTAGAGTAGCTTGGAGCCCAAACCCTTAACTTGCTTGGTGCCCAAACCCTATCACCGCCTCCGCTCATCTCTGTTCTTCTGTGTGAAATTGCTCAAGATTCCTCGAAATCCAGATCTTCTTTTTCTCAAGGAAGTTCTTTTGATGAGCGTCAGGACTTTGCCTCTTTCACTGAGAAAAAAAAATCATGAAAACCGCTACCAAACCAGTGATCATCCGAGAAGTATGGAACCACAATCTCCTTCAAGAATTTCAATTGATAAACCAAGCCCTCCTTCACTACCCGTATGCCTCCGTGGACACAGAATTTCCTGGCACCATTCTTCATCCCCATCCCCAGATGAACAGAAATCTACCTTCTCATATCGTATCGAACCAGAATTATTATTTTCTGAAATTGAATGTCGATTATCTCAAACTAATCCAATTGGGGCTAACTCTGTCAGACGCTGAAGGAAATCTTCCCGATTTAGGAACGAAATCTGCATACATATGGGAATTTAACTTTCGTGATTTCAACATTCATGTTGACGATCACAATCCGGACTCCATTCAGCTGCTGATGCGACAAGGAATAGATTTCTGGAAGAACCAGCAAATGGGCATTGATGGCAGGGAGTTTGCTATGCTGCTGAGTTGCTCCGGTCTGGTTTTCAAGAGGTCTCCAATGACATGGGTTACCTTTCACAGTGCATATGACTTTGGGTTTTTGATCAAGTTGTTGCTTGGGGGAAGAGAATTGCCTAATGATCTAAGTCAGTTTATTGGATTGGTGGGGTTTTATTTCGGAATGACGGTTTATGATATAAAATACATGATCAAAGACTGCAATGGACTCTATGGAGGTCTGGAACGAGTTGCAAAGTCTCTAGGTGTTCATCGTGTGGCCGGGAAGAGCCACCAGGCTGGTTCTGACAGTTTGCTGACCATGCAAACATTCATCAAGCTTAGAGAAGTCTATTTCAATCAGAAGCTGGAAGCCAATAACAAGTTTGAATTGGTGCTGTATGGGTTAGAAGTCAATTAATTGTTGGTTTAATCTTTTTTCATCTATGGTACAGTTGTATCTCTTGTAGTAATCTGTAATTTCCAATTAAAGTTTAGAAATTGAAAATACTCATTCTCAGATACCAATCTCTTTCAGTTCTTTATATGAGTTATATGACAAAACCCTAGGGGTAAAATTCTTTTGTGATTGGTCCATCAAGATCCATGTTTACACTAAGGCAGTGGTGTAGACGAACATTAATGGGAGCTTCAACCTGCCACCACCAGAAAATAATAATAAAGTAGAAGAAAAATCTGTAAAAATTGATGCAGAATCCATTTGAAATAGTCATGTTGCAAATTTCATATTCTACAAGACACAAATCCTCCCAGGAAGGTGGTTTTCTTCATATGCAAAACACGGGAATATGCTTCCGTAGACCATCAAATGTTCACACAAATTTAATACAATATATTTACATAAGTTACGTAATACTAAAACCTTCAAAGTAATAAACAAGATGATTTAAGGTTGACAATTATTAGTGCAGGCATTTCCCCTGGTTTTATATTGAGTATCAATCAGTTGATCTAAAACTACCATACACCACAGCAACTGAAATAGACATTAGATCAGAACAACCTGGATGACAGCATTGGCAATCCAAAATCGAGCATCAGCAATCCAAAATCGAGCTTTCAGAGCCTAGACTGTTTTCTCCGCCATAAATAGCCTTCGTGCCCTGGGAAGCAATGAAAAATTGCTTGTTATTTTATATAAACTAGTACCCTGAATAATAAGAGACAGCAAAAGGAAAGTACATTCACCAAACAAAAAGAACGTAGTCCTAACAAACTTGTGATGGGAACTTTATTCCCCAGTGAAAATGCCTGTTCTACAGAAGAAAAAAAAAAAAAAAAAAGAGGATATAATATATTATATGTTCCTAATCTGCAACTATTGATAATTTTTTGTCCATGTTTATATTACATTTCCTTCACTAGTATTAATTACATGCTTTTACCAACAAAAGCAAAGTCATGGTGCTCACTGTCCCATGGTGCTCAATGTAGAAGCCCTTATAATTCAAATCACACAACCACCCAATTTCCAAAATCAAATTAGAATTATGTATCTGAAAATACAATGATTAATTACCAAGTCATAGCAACTAAAAGTGTATACTTGTGACTTCAGTCTCAACGATCCACTAAAGAAAAGGTAAAATTTTTAGCATTCAAAGCATTCTTCTCATTATCAATTTGTAGCTCGACAATTACAAGTTGCTGCCAGTCGACTAAATTATTAGCTCATCTTCTCAACATTATCATTCATTTCAATTTCCAATTCTATTTCACACAATAAAACAGGGTCGGTTATAAAGATGATGCAAACAATTTTAATGAACATGAAAACATATACATTCATTATTTTTCGTTTAAAGCAACAAACCTCATGCAACAAATTTACTATTATAGTCATACAATCAGAAAACATATACATGTGCAGTAGCAATCACCACAAATTTTTTAATTTAGGCTTATCATTTTCTAAAAGATGGAGTTTTTATATTCATTTTCAATTGGCACCCATTATTGAACAATCATGTTTCAGCTAAAATTCTTCCATACTAGCTCTTCTGGGCAATTTGTCAAGCATATAGCATGCAAGCAAAACTTAGCGTATATATAAGAAACAAACTTATAAAAGAACTAATACACCTGAGAAACGAAACCACAATGAGCACCACTCACAAACAAAACCAAAATGAGCATGAACCAATTACAAATATGAGAGAGAGAGAGAACTTTACAGATATCAGAGAAGAAAGAGAGGGAGAAAAAATTTCAAATCTGAGAAAGGAAACTTACCCAAGTCGCCGTCGTCACCGAAACGGTGGTTACCGGTGGTCCGTCGTCACATAGAGAGAGAGAGAGAGAGAGAGAGGGAGGAGGGAGGGGGGGGGGGGGGGGGGGGGGGGGGGGGGGGGGGACTACAACAGACCGAAATTCTAATCTGCATATATGATCTCTTTTTTTCCCTGGCACATATATGACAAACAGAGAAATATATTTAAAAAAAAAAAAAAAAATCCATTGAAGCCAAATAGAGAAAGAGAGAACCACTGTACGAAGCAATAATCAGTGAGACTTTAATGAGATAATCCAAAACCTTCTCGTCGGCAATGGAGGATGATGATGCTTGTTTAGAGACCATCGAAACTCCGTTGGTGTTGTCCTGTTTGAGCTCGAGGCCAAGCACATTGAAGTCGAGATCAATGTCGCTGGCACCGTCATCTTAGGTTCACAACAGGCCGTCGTAGGTGAGAGTGTGAGACTCTTTTCTCCATCGAAAATTCACTAGGTTCGGAAGCTTCGTCGAGAATTGCATTGATATGTTCATCTGAACTTGACCCTAGGGTTTATGGAGACGACAAGGACAGCCATGTCTCTACTGAGGCCATCGTCTCTATTGGCGTCAAATTGTTGGAAGATCCTCTTCACCTTCTCTGATCTGCTGCCTCTGGTTGTCATTTTTGGATTTTAGGGCTTTCAATTTTAGGGTTTTGGTTTTTTTAAAAAGAGCAGTTGATGAGAGAAGACGATGATGTGAGTGTACAATTGGAGCAAAAGGGTGGTTTGAATGGGTATTAAGTGATTAGGGTTTACACTGATCAATGTTAAAGGTGTGTTAGGGTTTCATGGTTGCATCTCAAATGAGAAGAGGGTGAGACACGGAGAACACATGAGATGGAGAGAGAACGTCATTCTTGGAGATTCATTAATAGGGTTAAATTCGTCTTTTGCAATCTCTGATAATTTTTTATTAAATTGCATTTAAAAGATGAGGGTATATATGACATTTCAAATGATTTTATCGCTGTCAGTAACAAATAATTGACATGGTGTCTGAAAGTTAAAATCAAAATTTCTCTCCATGTGAGCAGGGGGTGTCATTGTAATTAACCCTAATATTTATGCTACTTCGCACAGAATTACAACTTTAAACCAAGTAAACACAAGTCACTACTTGCATGGACACTAGGAGCCACCAGCTATGCTGAGTGCTAAAGTGTACTTATTCACCAACTATTTTGGTGTAGAATGCTTGACCTGTTAACCATATCAAAACTTACAAGTCCAATAAAAGAATATAGTAGAAATGAAATTAAGATTGCAACAGATGGAATTTCAATACAAAAGTCAAATGGAATCATGAACTAAAACCTCGAAACAAGTGAAGAAAAACCACCAGGCACATCATGTTGATCTAAAATCCCAAACAGATACAAAAGCAGAGCTTACCCTTTTCTTTACAATTTTGATCATCTCCTGAAGTATATTCCTCTCAGCAATTTGTAAATGCACAGAATCACCACAGTTCTTCACCATTGTCTCCAGAAGCTGCAAAGTAGATATGCCACGAACTTGTGGATTAGAAAGACGTTCTTGAGCAACGGTTTCCTAAATTTCCTAACGGATAAATTTGAATTATCAAGTGTTATGTTGCAAGGCAAGTGGCAGCAGACGAATAATTTTGCCGTCTTTCGCAGGATTCATATAATTAAACTAAATGAATGTAAGTTAAGCTGCATTTTCACTACTAAGAAATTTATGATTTGAAAATGCAGCTTTGAATTCGAAAGCAGCCACTTTATGCAATATAATACCAAAGGTTAATACCAAAGGTTAGGTCCATCATCAGTCTTCCCCTCCTAGCACCAATGTAGGTGCAACCAAACTAGATAATGGTTTTTTAAAGCAACAAATTTTGTTTCCATTTTGTTCATTAACTCTTTGTTTCATTTTTTAACTTACTGAAGTGACTTCCACTTTCGGAACCAGCCATCTCCCAAACATTTCAAAAAAATAAAATTAATTTTTATCAGCAATGCCTAACTGTTTCATCAATAGCAATTGCCTGCTTGTGAGTTCATTCTCAACGATCCACTAAAGAAAATGTAACATTTTTAGCATTCAAAGCATTCTTCTCATTATCGATTCATAGTTGCCAGTGGACTGAATTATTAGCTCACCATCTCAACATTATCATTCATTTCAATTTCCAATTGTATTTCACACAATAAAACAGGGTCAATTATAAAGATGATGCAAACAATTTTAATGAATATGAAAACATATACATTCATGATTTTTCGTTTAAAGCAACAAACCTCATCCAATAAATTTACTATTACAGTCATATAATGAGAAATCATATACATGTGCAGTAGCAATCACGACAAAGTTATTAATTTAGACTTATCATTTTCTAAAAGATGGAGTTTCTATATTGATTTTGAATCAGCACCCATTATTGAACAATCATGTTTCGGCTAAAATTCTTCCATACTAGCTCCTCTGGGCAATTTGTTGAGCATATAGCATGCAAGCAAATATCAGTGTATATATAAGAAAACTTATAAAAGAACTAATACATCTGAGAAACGAAATCACAATGAGCACCACTGACAAACAAAACCAAAATGAGTATGAACCAATTACAAATCTGAGAAGAAAGAGAGAGAGAGCCATGGGGATGGGAGAGAGAACTTCACATATATCAGAGGAGAGAGAAAGGGAGAAAAAAATTCAAATCTGAGAAAGGAAACCTACCCAAGTCGCCATCGTCACCGATACGGTGGTTATCGGTGGTCTGTCATCACAGAGAGAGAGAGAGGGTCTCTTTCATATGTAAGATATGAAAATCAATTTTCGGATGATATCTATATGGGTTCTGACATTCGTAGTAAGAAACATGTTCATATACAAGAACTTGAAATTTTGATTTTTATAGTCTCCTAAAAATTAAAAAACATGATGTATTTAAGTCTTCTCTTGTGAGAGGTTTGGCAGCAACTTAAACTAATCCAACAGGTAAGAAATTATATTTTGTAATATGTCCAATTAAATTGTAACGTGGCTATTGCCTTTTGACAAATAAAATATTTGATGCTTGCTTACAAATAAATACATATATATGTGTGTGCGCGCGCGTGTGTATATGTCCAATTAATTTTTTTTTTTTTTTTTTTTTTTTTGGCTTAAAGATTGTTTTGAAAGACAAACACAATTCAATTTTGTGATGGGACTTTATTCCCCAGTGAAAATGCTTGTTCTACAGAAAAAATAAAAAAGGATATAATATATTAAATGTTCCTAATCTGCAACTATTTCCAAGT